TTCATGTTTTATGCCCTCCATGAGGCTAGGTAAGCCATCAATATGAACTAAAAATAAAAATGGGCCTAGGATTGAACCTTGAGGGTCACCCATGCTAATTGCAGACCCTGATGATCTCGTACCGTTGACATCGACTCTCTGTACCCTACCACTCAAATACGATTTAAGAAGGTCGAAGTCACGACCCGCCACACCATAATGGCAAAATTGCCTGACCAGAGTATCATGATGCACACTATCACAAACCTTGGAAAGGTCACAGAATACACCAATAGCATCATATGATCTTGCCATGCATCAAATATATGTTTCATCAACTCAACACCAGTGTCGGTTGTAGAGCGACCCCGAGTGAACCTATTTGTTTAGGAGACATTAAGTTATTAATTTAAAAATGTGCACACATCTGATTTAGAATATTTTTTCCAATATTTTACCGAGATTTGGTATTATTGAAATAGGTCTGAAATTGGTGGGGTCTGACACACTACCAGATTTGAAAAGTGGAATGACTTTACTTTGGTTCATGAGGTCAGCAAGCACACCATCATCAACACATTTATTAAAGACACGAGCTAAGTAAGGCGCAATACAATCAACTATAGAACTAATTACTCTGACTGAAATACCATCAAGGTCCGCAGTGTTTTTTATGTCAATAGAGTTAAAGGCTTGGAAGTACATGACGGAACCTTAAAATAGTAAAACTTACTGCATTATTTTCTTTTAGTAAGGATTCAGCGGTCAAAATTGGAATCTCAGTAAAAAAATTTCAAACATTTTAGCAACTTCTGCGTCTGTTTTTACAATTTTGTCATTAAATCTTAGTTGAAAATATAAGTTACGAGGTTTGACCCTTCCAGTTTCGCTGTTTATAATATTCCAAGTCGTATTTACTACATTCGCGCTGTTTTTAATTTTATTATTTATAAATAAACATTGCTTTAGCTGCAACACGAACACGCTTAAACTTCCTAACAAAATCATTAAAACTGTTATTTGTGTTATAGGTCCTTTCATCGTAAAGATCATGCAGCCTCGCCCAGTTACTAAATTTCAATGAATTATTAATGGTTATGATTTTGGACTTAAAAACATTATCACGTTCAGTTTTCACCATGTTAAAAACTGTTTTATACAATTTATTTGGATCGTTACCGTACGTCAGGTAGTTTGAGCATTACGTTATTTCTATAAGCTTTAAGTCGACCATTATTTATTGGAACACATGTGATATCCTTTTTTGGCATTTTATCAACAGTTATATTAAAAGTGGCCAATTGACCGCAGTGATCAGAAGGTAATTTATTTTTAATAGATTTATTACTAGGTACGGTGGCAGCATAAATGTTGTCTAAACAAAAGGCTGTAGTAGAAGTTATTCTAGTAGGCACCAAGAAAAGATTTACAAGATTATAACATTAGAAAAAAATTATATGAGTTGTAATTGAGGTCACCACAAATAGCTATATATTTATTTGGATTATCATCAATATATTACCTAGCCAGCTACATAAATTCATAAATTTCTTGTACCCTCTCGCTACCAATCTTGTCCCAATTTTTCCACTTTTATCCCTTTCAACTACCATCTTGAACTTTTCCCTTTGAACTAACTGCCTCCGTGGCCGAACGGTTACCATGCCAGACTGCCACGCAGAGGTCCCAGGTTCGATTCCCGGGCCGGGAGAAATATTTGTATGGCCTACATTTATTTCTCTCGTGAGTTTGGGTGTAATTTGTGGTTGTCCATGTGTATGTCCATGGCACCCGCGATACAAGGTTTCCCTAGTGAGGCACTGAGTTGAGCTTGTGTGTTATTATTATTATTATTATTATCCCCTTACTCACGATCGCCTTCATTCCTTAAATTCTTTCAGATTGAAAAAACCAATCAAGCTTTAGGTTTCGCATTAAATATCTCGGAAGAAGCGCCATTAGCCAAATTCTTATTTTAGCGGTAAAAGTTCATTTATTCTAATCGCCCAATCCTCAGTTTTAGAATCTATATAATTTTCCAGTTTGAAATTTAAAGTATTTACATTTTTCAAAAAAGCTGTAAAATGACTTATGCGCATTTAAACGAAATCATTTCAAATCTTGTTGAAAGATATGTGTTGTAATTCGCATTCATGGTTTAACCACATGTAACACACTTTTGCGAACCAGGTTTTGTGTAACCAATTTTTTTATATTGATATTCAATTATTTTCTGTGAAATTACTCCACTAGTTTGTTATAATTATTAATACAAAGATCGAACACTCAGAAAAAACACTCAGAAAAAATTCCTTCGATCCGGTCGGATTCGAACCGACGTCTTCTTGCATACCGTGCTAGACGCTATACCTACTAAGCCACGGAACGAACCAACGGACCTCACGAATTTTTCTATGTGCTTCCGTCGTGTCTTTGTACTTGGTTTTTCAACGACTTTTTAGTCGTAGCGCCATCTATGAGAAATCTATTGCAGATTTATCACCCAGTTAGTACCTTTACAGCTACCAGTCCTGGCGAGAGATGTCGCTATTCACTGTATTAATTAAATTTTTATTGAATTGATATTCAATTGAATATGTGAGTGAGCTGAGTGTTTTTTCTGAGTGTTCGATCTTTGTATTAATAATTATAAGAATATTAAAGTTTATATGTTCCAAGGTACAAGACTGCATTCATAAAAACTCACTTTACGATTTTCTGTGGGTTAACTCATTTATGCAGAACACGGCCCAGATAATCTTACCTCAATAAATTATTTGTCAGTCACAGCACACTAGATAAAAAAACACCTTACACCAAAGATCATAGGATTCAAAGTCAAATCATCTTCAATTCATAGATAAGTAAATTATACTTGAAATCGTCATATAAGAGACTCTAAGGGTTGGTCTTTGTAAATATACATTTGTCATACAATATTTATTTCAAACATTTTAGATCAAGAATACCTGCTAAAGCTAAACGGGTCACTAACACGGAATTTCGTCATCCAAGTACCTACCCATAAGTTGTATAATAAGCTTTAGAATAAAGTTTTTGTTTCACTATGGTTTTAAACCTTGTAAATGGCTAATTATGGATATCACCCGGAATCTTTTTATTATAAAAGCGTATACTTAAGCCCCTTAAAGATTTTCTGACTTTGTGAAGATGACGCACATAGGGGTGAATGGCCGATCTGGCTGGCCAAAAGTCCATTTTACCAAACTAAATGTAGGTAAAAAACAATGACTACCTGAGCAAGTTGAATAAATTTCGAACCATAGATGACTCGTCCATCACCCCGTTCATGCCACCCTGAGGAAGGATCGCAGTCTGAACTTGATCGTCTGTTTTAGTGTACGAATTTGATCTCGACAGCTTTTGAAAACGCTATTTTCCTGAAGTGTACATTCATTGATGGCTTCTACATAAGCAAAGATGATTATGGTTCCCAATAGGCAAGGTGATATTGCATATTTTTTTTAATATTTATAATATAGTTTCAATATAATTTCATATAATGTTTTTGACCATGAAAAATACGTTCCGTTCCGGTACGTAGGTATACGTTATATCCCGCCATATTTCTTTTTTTAATATAAGCAACAGGTATTCAACAAAAAGATTATTTACAAAATTCCTGCGCTTTTGAAAAATAAAGGCATTTGAACGAATTGACAAAAAATGTAAATTTTTATTTTTATCTGATCTTAAACAAACTTTTATAATATTTTAGGACCAGGAGAGAGTTCAAACATGCGAGTAATCACTCGAAAAGCATTGTTTGATAAAATGCAACAACAATACTTACCTACCCCGTTTTCAGTCCAAACTGGATTAGCTCGAAAATTACCTTTTAATGTTTGAAATTATTCCATTGGAGAAATTAAGCTAATGAAACCAAGTATTACAAGCTTGAAAGTAAAATTCAAAGACCAATGGAATAAACGAATAGGAAAGAACAAAAGTTTCTAGATAAAAACAAAGAGTGATTAGAGCAATGCGTGATTAGAAAATGAGTGATTAGAACAAGAGCAATGCAACAACAACGTTGCTCAGGTCGGCCGGAAAAGCCATTTATTGATTGAAGTGACAGAAGCAAGAGAAGAAAAACAGAGGAAGTTCAAAGTATTGTCGAGAAAGATATGTTGTTTCACTGTACTCAGATGATTACAAACTTCTGGTAAAAGAGATGCTTCAAGTTTACTTTAACTAATAACGAAATCCCAAAAGCGAGCTACAATAATCGAAAGAGCGTATTCAACGTATAAAGAAAACAAAGAAACACAATTAAGTCCTTTACAAGCTCCGACGATGTTTGTTGAAGCAGATCTTTCCAGACGGTATGAGGTGCTAAAAGCAAAAAACAAAAAATACTATCCGAGCTTCAGTGTCCTGCAAATAGCAACAAAAAAAATTGTTATCCACCTAAAGAGATATATCAAATAACGGAAACTTGTGCTGAAATACATCTTTAAGATTTGTTAGATCATACTGTTACTCGATTGTTGACGTTTCTGGGAGAAGAAATTTTGAGTCCTTTAAATCAAGTGGAAAATAACACTTTAGAGTTGATTTGCAAACGCTGCGATGGCTCTCAGCAAGCACGTTTTAAACAAACGGTCAATTCATGTACTTTATTATTGTACCAAATTTTCAAATAAATTTCATCATTTTATTTTAAATTTTTTCATTTAAAAGTTTTATTTTTAATCTCAATAAAAAAAAATACTACAAAACATAAAATAAATCATAATAACAGAAAATCACGTTTCAAACACTTAAAAAATAATTTTGGACAGGCAGGTAGGCCATTTACCCACCGTGTGACGGCAAGAACAGGTAGTTTATTTTTATTCCTCGTATTAATGTTACATCTGTCACTATTTAACAAAAAATACTATTCTCAACATCAATATCGACGCTAGTGTAAGAATGTTAATCTCTCTAGACTTATCTTTCAAAGACACGCTGTGTCATACAAAGCGAATACTGTATAAAGGTTTAAAATTACGTACCACTGCCAGATTTGGACAACAAAGACCGAATACTTTTACTATACATTGATCATCTTCAAGAGTTGAAAAATCCATGGAATCCGTAGGGGCACACATTTTCAGATAGTTTATGGGTACTAAACACTGATTTGTAGATATTATGTATTAGTTGTTTTCTGCAAATCACTTTTAATTACAATAATGTTTATTTACATGCATTCAATTTCAAAAACTTAAGTCACAATTGAAAGGAATGCTTATCATAGTATAAAAAGAAACGCGACTCCATACAATCGTAGCGGCGCGGTATGTTTCTAGGATCGCATACATTCGCAATCTCGCGTGGAACTCACGTTGCGTATCGCGAGTCGTCGCTTTCGACGTTCCAGAACTGAAGCGTTGGTTCGGTGTTTAAACAATCTCAGTACCGAGTACTAAAAATACCGACCTCAAAAGTACGTGGAATTACGTCTTTTTGCTAAGTTTTATTGAAATATCCCCTAGTTCGCCACTACACAGGACTTGATACTGGAGATAATAAAAATAGGTTCTTACTACGACACTACTCAAAGTATATTGAGAGAAAAACGCCTTGAATTGGAGAAATAGCAAAATCAACCATTAAAGTAATTGCTCCTAAATTAAAGTTAGGCACTATTTATGAAAATGAATCTTCATGCGTGAACAGCCACCCTCCGAGGTGGATGATATTCTTCAAATGAAATGGGACCACTATGGAAGTACCTCCTTTCCAACAAAAAAAGAATCATGAAAATCGGTTCACAAATACTGGAGTTATCGCGTAACATACATACAAAAAAAAGAACATACAGTCGAATTGAGAACCTCCTCCTTTTTGAAGTCGGTTAAAAATGACACCAAGTAATGACGCGTTTAAAGTTAGATTTATGGTAATTTGAACAAGAGTGCTATAAAGCAGCTATGCGCCGAAAGACATTTGGTGACATCACTTAGCATTTTATAAACCATCGACTAAATAACCAGAATTGAAAACGAAATAAGGGCCATCCATCCCTGGTAACTCATCAGGCAAATAGGCCTTATATCACTTTTTAACCGACTTCAAAAAAAGGAGGAGGTTATACGTTCGGCTGTATGTACGTTTGTAGGTATGTTTCAGATTTCGTAAATTCTTTTTTGTTTGAAAGGGTGCACTCTCGTGGTGGTCCTATTGTTACCAAGTCAGAATCTGATGAGGGAATCCATGGAAATCGAGGAAAATCCTCAGATTTTATAGGCATGTCAGTGTACAATACCGATTTCTCCAATAATTGTAGACCGATTTCGAAAATTCTTTTTTTGTTTCAAAGGGTATACTTTCGAGGTGGTCCCTGATGCCGAGCATGCAGTTCCAGGTTCGTTTCGGCTATCACAAATTAAAAAAATATATTTCGCAAATAAAAGTCGACTTTTCACTTGAAACAATGCATGTAATCAACAAATCACCGTCAAAAAAAGTATAACTTTTTCATGGGAACAAAAAACCGGCCTAAAAAGTTTGCTTTTCGGCTTTTTTCGATTTCGATGGGATTTACTCATCACATTCTGACTTCTTGGTGACAATGGGATTGTTACGGATTATATTATACGTTTTATATTTTGTTTTCTGGTTGTCATGGCGACGGTCATTTGTTGATTACATGTATTGTGTCAAGTGAAAAGTCGAATTTTGTTGCGGAGTTAGTAATTTGTGATAGCCAAAACGAACCCGGGACAGTATCAGGGACCACCTCGAGAGTATACTCTTTCAAACAAAAGAAGAATTTTCAAAATCGGTGCACAATTGATGGAGAAATATTGAAGACACGAACATGCCTATAAAATTTGAGGGTTTCCTTCGATTTTCATGAGATCCCCTAATCAGATTTTGACTTGGTGACAATAGGACCACCGCGAGAGTGCACCCTTTCAAACAAAAAAAAAATTTTCAAAATCGATCCACAATTGACGGAGATATATCTAAAACATACATAAAACTTACATACAGCCGAACGTATAAACTCCTTTTTTTGAAGTCGTTTAATAAAATGTACAAAGGAGTCCATAATAGTCCCATTGTCACCAACAAGTCAGAATCTAATGAGGAGTCACAAATTAGAAAGATATATGCTGTAGATTCTCCTCTATTCCGCGGCGAAAATCTGGAACAACATTCCGCCACCAATGCGTTCTTCACAATCCGTTTATGCGTTCAAATGTCAACTCAAAGAGCACATTCTAAATCTACAAAACACGTCTGAAACAATTTTATTTGTGTAATGCGCCTCAAAATACAAAATTAAAAAGAAAAAGCAGAGTGAATCTTTGTTGGGGCATTAGCTGAAATTTGTGTTATGTTTCCTATTTAATTATATTGTTTCATGTTTAAGTTTTTATTTAACTCGCGTCCACGTTTGTTTTTATTTTATTAATATATTTTTATTTCTTTTAATCGGCATTTTCGAAAAGGGTCCACTGAAAACCAGCGCTGTGGCCTTGCCGCAGTATTAGCTGAGTTGGGTCCTTTTCAGTGCAATAATACACTTTTAATACTAATTATTAATATTGTACTCTTAAATTACATTTCTTTCTTTCTTTCTTTTCTTTCTCTCAGTGAATTCTGTCGAAATTGAATCAATAAATCGGCCAATTTTTAAGTTAAAATGCGTGCGTTCCTCAACTCGACATTGGCGAAATCACCGATTACATTAAAAATTACTAATATTATTACATTTAAAAGAAAAAGGAAATGATGATGAGGGAATCCCATGGAAATCGAAAAAAGCTGATAAGGGAACTTTTGAGGTCGGTTTTTTTTCAATGAAAAAGTTACAATTATAAATATCAACTCTCGTTTGCACTGAAATCACAAATTAGAAAACTGAAATAGCACAGCGCCAATAACCGACTTGTGTGTACGTCTCCGTATATTCCAAAAATATTCTGTATTTGTTGTAACAAAGATAATATCTCTAACAATGGAAGCTGTTCCATTCGGTGGTGTGTAAAAAACAGCAAAACATCTAATTACAAAACAAACGGAATCATTAAATATGTAAATTTCAACTTTCGTCCAATATAGCAAAGTTAAACGGGTCGATTTGAAGTGAAACAATTGACGACACCCGTCGATTGTTTCGAATTCGGGCTGGCCAATCGGAGCGCAGTTGCCACAGTAATGATTTGGCAGAATAGTTTCGACACAAATTAAATGACATTTCATCTCTATTTCTGGTTACATACTCCGATGTTATAAATCCATCATATGTGTGTGCATTTCATTCGTATAACAAGTCACAACAGTCAACAGCACAGCTGTGGACAGGTACTTGACCAATGCAAGAGTCAGTGGAGAAGAAATCCAGTCTTGTCGATAGTCCATGGTTAGAGTTTGAATTTGACACTTAAGGCAGTCTCTAATCTTGTCAAATTGAATGCTACCAAAACGCAGGCGTATCTATTCTCCGGGCGGCGTCGTGGTGAATGTTCACTGATCCCACGGCGCCGACTCAACCGGCGAGAGGGAAACCCGGGGGGCTTTTAGTGGGGTAGGCCTTCCAGTCTGGAGCGAGAGTCCCCACATAACCCAAAACACAAAGCCCAGGGAGACTCAGGGGTATCCATAAAGATTTCCCCTCGTCAAAAAAAAAAGGCGTATCTATTCTCCACAAAACGGAGTCCCTTTCACCTGACTCCGACTATTCGTAATGTATCCATACCGACAGCCGACCATCTTCATCAGCTACTTGGAATGGACCTGTTGTCCAATCTGAACTTCGGCAGATACATTGAATCCATGGCCAAAAACGCAGCCAGGAAGCTTGGCATCCTTTCCAAGGTGAGGCGTTACTGTAGTAGTAGTAGTAGTAGTAGTTTTGATTATAGTGACCCTCCCTACATACCCATACGAGAAGGGCACTATAACCTGTGTGCGCACTGGAACCTTATAAGTTCAGGTTCTGACCCCAGATCAGCCAGTGTACAGGGTTGTCACAGACCTCTGTCACTTCATCCGGTTCTTCGAGAGGCTAGTGCCTCGTGTGAGCCGCCCCGGGCGCACGTATAGTACCCTCCCTATTTTCCAGATATATACCGGAGCAGTAGGCACGCTCACTTCCCGTTGCGCATTGCATAACTAGCGGTTGCCACCGCTAAGCCATCGACTCTGAGTCCACTACCAAATCTCCTTGTTGGTGGCGGAGCTCTAAGACACGCTCACTTCACGACGCCGAAAAACGAGGTCTTTTCAGTTCCCAATAACCTAAGCGGCTGGAGGACCGGAGGATATCTAGCTTATCCTCTACCGCAAAGGCGTATCACTGGCGGAGGGCTTGGCGCGTCCGGGCCAAGTACCCTGATCTTGCCATCGAGCCCGTAGTCTCTCCGGAAAACCCTATCTCTCAGGTTGGTAGATAGGGACATACCGAGACAGTTGCTTCAGCTGTACCAAGCACAAGTCCGGTCGTGTATAGAGTACTGCTGCCACTTATGGGTTGGCTCTGCTAAATACCAACTGGACACCTTGGATTTAATAAACAAGCGTGTCAAGAGGCTTATAGGTGACTCGAAATCAGTAGAAACGAAAGTTCAGAGCCTTGAACACCGCCGTAAAGTTGCCAGCTTATCGGTATTGTACAGGATCGCTATATCACGGAGAGCGTGATATGGAATTGCATAATTTGATTCCGCCTTCCCCTTTCCATCATCGGCGGACTAGACGTGGGCTGGATTCCATCCCTATATTGTGGATTCTCAGGATTCGCACGAAGCGGTTCGCTTCCACATTTATATGGCGAGCGGCTAGAGAGTGGAATTCCCTATCTGCGGACTTGTTCGTCAAATGCTATAACTTGGACCTTTTTATGGGGAAAGTGAATGAGCATTATTTAGGTGAGCATGCTACATCGTCGACCTCATCATCACTTGCCATCAGGTGAGATGGAGGTCAAATGCGCACTTATTTTTTATAAAAAAAGTCAAAAGTTAATATATAATTATTGAATAGTGTTAAAACTTATAAAATATCCCAAGTTGCCCATCTACACCTATGTATATCTAAATTAGGGATGCACATAACCATTCGATTTTCATGCAGATCGATTCAACTCTATAACTCTAGATGAGTTTATACACACGCGCAAGAAGTGTCGCGAAAAGTAATGTAATAAGTATCAATTAGATTCCTGTAAAAGTAATGTTACAGTGTGATATCGCCCTCACTCACATCACACAGACCAAAAATGAGATGCGTTATAACCATTATCCCATCACTCTGTGCATTGCTTAGTTGTTACCACTATATGTCTGTGGATGCTACTATCACAATGCATTACAGTGTGATATTACCACAGACATATATCTAGATAGACGCCGTAAGTGTACGTACTTCGTTCCCAAAGTAAGCGGAATTCACTGACTTGCCGCTGCTACACTTCAGAAAGCGCTCGACCGTTATCGTAGACAAACACCAGTCGAAAACGCGAAAAATGCATAATTATGCCATTATAAACTGCAAAAGCACCATAACTGTGGGTAAACTGTTAAACAGGGACGTTTCCTTCCACGGGCAAGTGATTTTGTAATCAAAAGATGCATAATTTATTTTTAAAAACAATTATTTTGGTTTCTCTATGAATTTCGAGGAAACAAATATGCAACCCAGTGTATGCCTCATGATTTGTAATACATTGCGGCTTTTACTTGGTGCGGTATATTTGTGATCGATCGATATATGCGGTAATCTTAACTTGGTGCGTGTTTTGCAACTTAGTAGTACTATTACCATCAATCATACATTACCTGTTCCGAACGTAGCTGCGATCAATACGCGTAAACTAGAGCAGATAATTAATACGAAGTGTAAAGTAACTATTACAATTTTTAAACGGCACAAACATAGTAGTATTGACAATTCACTATTAACCATCTATTCACAGAACGTATGAACCTTTTTATTGAACTGAAATAAAAAAAAAACAATAAAACTAGTATTGTGTCCGATGATGTTATGATGAGTGATGCTTAGAATGATAACGCATAGAATGATAGTTTCATATCAAACGAACTGTCACAAGTGAGGCAAAAATCAGATTCATGTAGGCTAGTTTTAGTAGTAGGTTAATTTTCGGTTTTAGTGAATATTTATATAAAAATACAAGTTTAAACGCGTTACTTCCTTGTGGAATGTGATGTTAGTATCTATTTTATGTTTGTCTGACGTATTGTTACACTCATTTAACGCATATTTCGTCATTTTTAGCTAAAATTCTTGAGCTGTTCGCGGTGCAAGTTGACCTTGAGCACTGAAGGCCCGCCCGCTCGTGTAGGCCCATTGGGCGCGCTTCAATTTGCCTCACTTAGCGTGTGCGGACTAGGTTTCTATGCGTTATTATTCTAAGGAGTGATGTGTAATATCACATTACACCGTTGCGTGAAATTACAGTTGCAATATTACTCGCATTACTTACACATCACTATGGTTGTAATAAATGATATTCTATACTACTATATTCTAAGGCTCAACTCACACTGGCGCAGAGTCGAAGCGTCACGTCGCGTTCTGTTTTTCAACTACAACACGCTCGCATTAACGCGCTGAATATGCTATAGGCGAAAAACATGACGAATCGCGACGCTTCGACTCTGCGTCAGTGTGAGTTGAGTCTTAGCGAGTCTGGGGAAATTATCTATAGGCACTGTTAAGAGTGATTGTTATCTTTTTCTCAAGTAGATAACCGTTTTGGACGGTTCTAGTCTTGTAAACAGTTTTTACAGTGCTTAAAAGCAGTAGAGCTCCTTGTGAAACAGTTCGTCCAGGGAAGTACTGCCACCTTACCTATGTATGTAAGGTGGCAGTACATGTGATCATTACTGCGTTTCGATTTTGAATGGTAAGGGTTATGATGAAATTACAGGCACATGGGACTTGTCAACTTATGTCTCAAGGTGATAGGCGCCGTGGCAGTGCCCCTCAGATCTTTGCGATTTAAAGCTCTGAGTGGCACTGCAACTGTTACGGACAGGCGTGTAGCTTACCATCAGGCGCATGACATATTCGTCCCGTCACTTGACATTATAAACAAAAAGAAATCAAAAGACAGTGTCAAAAAGTTTAATTTGGTCGAATATTACTTATTTGACGGGAGTAGACCCTCAGAAACAGGTGCAAACTACTGAACGTGTAACTATAATACGCTCTCCTGCGTTTGTCTGGGCGCCGCGTCGTCGCTTTGAATTATGTAGTGCATCTGAGAACACACTAAATACTTTACTTACCAAGTGATTCTTCCTCTAGTTTTTCACCCCAAATATTGTTAAAACCGATGTTATCATCAGGATTCCCTTTACTAATGTATATTTAATGACCAAATGTGAAGTACGCAGCCCAGCGAGATGTAAAAGATTCATCACATTGCTCGTCAGAAGACGGCTTTAAGATTGGCCAGCAGATCTTAAAAGTCCAAGAACCGATCATTGTAATAGCTTTATTTACGTTTGGCGCGATTCTATAAAGAAAAAATAAACAAAAGGTATTTATATTATTTAGATTGTGTGGTGTAAAGTAAATAAAAGTAAGCTACGAGCCGCCCGCTCCCGCCATTATACGTTACGAAGTGACATAATTGGTGTGAGCGGACGAACCGCACGCGCACGTTAACTAACCAAACCTCGTTTTATTGAGCTTCGGAAACCTTGTTTTATTAAGTCGGAAGCTATGTCCGTACATTGTCTCAAGACACTACGACCAGCATCTTCGGCACTAGCCCGGAGAGCCAGTAAAGGATAAGCTAGACATCCTCCGATCCCTCCAGATGCGTAGATTTATGGGAACTGTAGAGACGCGTCGAGTGTTCGGCATCGAGAAATGAGCGTGCCTACAGCTCCGCCACCAAAGAGGAGATTTGGTAGGTGACTTAGTGTCGTATTCTAGAACTCTACTCAATGCTCAAGTCAGGTTTTGAGTATGGTTTAAAGCACTCGAAATCATACTCAAGTCCCTGCCATTAGGGTCGTATTTCCAGTGCTTGTGTTTCTAGTGCAATCCTGACTAGAGCATTGAGTAGAGTTCTAGAATACGACCCTTAGAGTCGACGGCTTAACGGTGACAACCGTTAGTTGCGCAGTTTAGCGTGCCTACAGCTTCGGTACCTATCTGGGACTATTATATATTATTTCCAGAGAGTGCTGTGCGTGTACCCGGGGCAATTCACCCAAGGCCGGATGAAGTCCGGCAAACGGGCTGATCTGATGCCAAGACCTGTCTGAGAAGGTCCCTGTGCAAGCTTGTTCGCACATGTTATAGTACCCTCCCCTTATAACCAAGAGGTTGATATGGAGAGTCACTATAAACAAAACTTATGTATGTAGAAAGATATGGGGGCTGTCTGCACAGCTAGGTAGGTGTCACATTCCATTAAGATATTTTTTTTCTATTTGATTTTGTTTAAAAGCAGAACACGGTATGTGAACTAGTTTTTTTGTTTTATTGTTATAAATATCGCTAAAAGTAAGAAATTGATCTCATTATGTGAAAAACCTTGATCTCGAACTTTGAATATTAGAACATACTGTTATAAAAAATTTATCAGTTTTATTTTTATGTCACCCTAAATGTTATATACATGCTGCATTTTGACACAAAATCGCTTCTCCTGTAAAATTACAAAAGTGGCGGTTACAGTGTAATGTTTCTCAAGTACGGAATTATTCTTATAGGAGTAGTTTTAATCTAACGTTACGATATAAAGTGTAACTTGCTTACCTACGAAATAAAGATATTTGATTTCATATAGAATACTGTAGTCCAAAGTGATTCAAATTCTCCACTGTTTTATATTCTAGAAGGCAGCCTTTTGTAGATAGGTCTAGTACCTACTATTACAACATCGTGAATATGTCTAAATTTACAGGTAAAGGTAAAATAATTTTGTCCTCTAAATGTAAATTTGTTTAGCAGCCATTGTTTTGTGAATTTTCTATTGTTATGCAAGGAATTAACTTAATTTCCTTTTTTTACCATAAGACTAATATCGATAAATGACAAATTATTGCCATTTGAAAGAACATTGTCAATCAGTGTAGAAAAAAGCTAGAATGAAAAAAAAAAAGGTAAAAAGCAGACTGTCACCGGCGTTAAACAAACTTCAAAGAAAATTTAAATAAGCTTCTTGATTTACAGCAATCCCTAGAAGATGGAAAAAATAAAGGAACAGTCGTCACAGAAACTTAAATGGACTTTAAATTTATTTACATTTCTGTGACTATAGTAATGCCATTGGCACCATTGACTTACAATTACTTATATGGACGTCGGGTCCGCGCTAAAAAGTGTCCGAACTTATAGGGAGTTAAAATCGTATACAGAGCGTCATTCACGCTTTAGTCTTCGTTTGTTTCTTCTGACAGCGAAGCAAGCAAAATTAGACAGTACTGCGATGACATTACAATTTAAATTCAACGTTTTAGCTTTTTCATATTCCATTACATGTCACTACGTTTAAATAGGTTGACTTGGGACATTTTTTTCGTGGTTTTTGTATTAGACCCATCGTCCATTTATTTGTAAGTCAATGATTGGCACCAAAGAAAGTGAACCTTTGATTTTTTATTACCTATTTAATAAATATAACGCACATAATGAATTAATATACCTAAACAACAATTGTAACTAATGATCCTGTATACACTGTATTCGTATAAAATCTTTGATTCCAACCATTGACTTACAATTATATGGACGTCGGGTCCGCGCTAAAAAGTGTCTGCACTTGTAAGGCGCTAAAATCGTATACAGAGCGCCAAACTCCTCTTTAGTCTTCATTTGTTCGACTGACAGCGCGATACTGCGATGACATTACAATTTAAATTTCGAATAGGTTGACTTGGGACATTTTTTTCGTGGTTTTTGTATTAGACCCGTCGTCCATTTATTTGTAAGTCAATGATTGCAACGCATTTGATGACCAAATCCAACTGTTGATTAAAACGACACGGCTACCTGTGTAACAATCGCCAACTATATTTTATGGATGGTGGGAAAGAGATATTTTTTTATATCAAGTGACGGGGCGAACATGTAGTGGGCGACACATTACTAGCTCTTGCAGTGCCACTCAACTGTGGGGCACTGCTTTATTCCATCCTCCAAGGGCACTGCCACTGCGCCTGTCACCCTGAGCCATAAAGTTGGCAAGGTTTCCTTTATTTTTTTTCCGTCCTCTAAGACCTTTTGTGAACATCCTTAGCGCCCAGTTACACGACGCGAAAGTTTTCGCGTGGCCGCCGCGCGGCCAACGCCCAGTTATCACGCTTTCACGTATGTAGGGGAACCGGAGCAGTTTGACACAGGGGACACATTCATACACCTGCATTATCTCCACACCTTCAAACATAATATTAGTTGTGATAATACTAAAACGTGCCTTTGTACGAATGAATAATAGACATGCGATGATGCAGCTCATCAGTTAGCTGTTTCCGTTCGACAGGTCACAGTGTTTTCACAGCCGTTAGCTAAAAAAATAAGCGACAAAAATACGAGGGCCACTGCAGTTTTGTTCACTTTACAGGGCTTTATGTCTTATTACAGGGTAAACTAGTGTTGTCAATAACTAGAATTGGATGTGACTGAGAGAATATTATAATTTTTTTTTTTAATAAATATTATTTTCTAAATTCGCCGGTGGGGTACTTTTATACACTAGTGAGTGGGGCCGTTTGGTACGTATCAAAGTGCTAGGAATTAGTTATTTTGTACGAAAAATATAAAACTGTTTCAACAAGTCATTGTAAAGAGGTGAACTAGTGACATTTTGCGCTATAGTCAGCTCTTCCTCCTATATTTCTTCTTCCAAGACTACATTACAAAGAATACTTTTAAAATGGTGCCCTAGAAAGAAGTCGGGATAGATCAGTGCGGAGGCACCTATAGCATCATACTTTATGAACAGTTGATCACCTAGTGCCGATAATACCTACGTGGCAACCAGGAATGGCACACTACATTGATTCACACATTCTTAGTGCCCCAAGCGATGTATCAAAGTACCCCACAGGTGGGGCAGAATTGGACAATTCCCATTTTTTTATAAAATCAAAATTTTTCAATTATTCAATGTTATTTATGAAAGAAAATATTAAATTAGTATTGTTTATTAGTTATATCATCAATTAGGTGAAAAAATATTCATTATAATCTCATTTAGAAGCCCAAAATTAAAGTTAAAAAACTGCCCCGCGTCCCCCAACATTAATTGCGAATCTGAATTCTACTTACTAGGGAACAACATTTAAATTCCTCTGAACAATACAACCACGTGATCGCCGCGTAGACCAAAGACTTTGTATATAACATTATAGCCAAAATTTCGCCCTCTTTGCCGACGACTCCAAATTAATTTCCGCAGCTCTCCAATCTGCTACCACACGCCTAGGCGTGTGGTTTCGCAGATGGAGAATCGAAGTTAATCCCAAAAAAAGCGCGGCGGTATTCTTCACGCGAAATAACTTATCCTGTCGTAGGGTACAAAACCTCACCGCGATCTCGCTCTTTGGCCGCCTAATCCCTTGGATGAACACGGTCAAATATTTAGGAGTTACGCTCGATAGGAAGCTTAGCGCGCCCACTTTGTTTGGGGTGGTTTGTGACTGTAGTTGCGCTTCTGTTATTTATTTTATTAACTTTATGCGGAGGGAGAGTGGGATAATTAACTGCGAATTTGCACGATTTAACATCTAAGTCTTTGTAAAAGATGTAGATTATTTCATTTAAGATATTCTCGCTAAGAGCGATGCCACATGGGTGTGCGCTAAGATTTCAACGTACTAAGTTGCTTGCGGTGGCGCACTGTTTTAACGCACCGCCATGCCACAACGTTCTGTTATGTAAGAATGGTATACAGGGCCCAATGTTGAGTTGTTTAAAAATTATCATCAAAAAAGATGTAACACTGTCAGTTTAAATGATGAACATAATGACTTAATATGTATCTCGGATAAGTTTAACTGGGGCCCACATGTTGAACGTGTATGTACTAAGCTTAGGGCGGTACTTTCCAAGTTATGTATACTCAAACAAAAACTACCATACAATTGAGAATGTTATATTTGGCACTGGCTGACTCTATAATTAATTATGGTATTTCGAGCTATGGTCGTACATACAAAACATTCCTACAAAATATTTATAGTGAAAGCTATATATAAGATTGCTTAAGACCATTGTACCTCCTAGAATTAGATATAAATTTAAAGATAATTATGACCAACTATTTCAGTATTGTAACATAATGAATGTCTTTGATAAAGTTAACAACTCTTTTATGGGGAACTGTATACGTTTTTACAATAAGATTCCGG